GGGTAATACTGTGCGTGGTATTAATCAACGGTTCCCCGCTCGGATGATTAGCACGTCGAGGTAATATCTCATTCGGCACTCCTGATATTCGCGCGCACGTCAGTTCGACCGATTATCAAAACAAAAGGGTTCCTTACTCACGAAAAGAGCGGAGCGAAGTTCGTTCCGACGCTTAACGTTTCGACCGCGTCGCGATTACACTCGCAATCAGAAAATATTCTGTTGCTAAAAAGCGAATACTCGATTTACTTTCCATACCTTCGGATTCGTCGAATCTGTTTGCGAATGCAGGTAAATGCGAGACGAATGTACGACCGAGTCCGAAACTGATCTATCTGACGTTAGTCGCGAAAGAAAAGTGTCATGAAGCAATCGCATGAAGATCGCTTTACATAAAAAGCGCGGGTCGCGCTTGTTGCGTCAGCCAATCCCGAAGCGAATTTTCAAATTGACGCATCGGGTTGGTTGAGCGCGTCTCGCGTTCCCGCGTCTTACATAGATCGGATTTAACGCGCGATCGTTGCGCATTTGTTTCTCGCGAGTTTCGAGCGGCGGACGAATTGTTCGGTACAGTGAAGAATGTCGCGAATTTACGCGTGATGTGTCTACTTGTGCATACCCGTTTCAATACAAATAGACGTTTGAAAACTGTCCAACTGTTAACTACGCGATCATTCTTGAAGATAAATAGGCCGTCGGACGGCCTATCTCGAAATAAGAACGAACTGTAAATACCGCCGATAATTCGTTGGTGATCGAAGACGCCATGACGGCCTACATCGGATAACGCGGAGTGAAAAACGCGGTGAGTGAAATTCGATCGTTTCGCACGTTTCGTATTCGCATTTTATCAAAACGCTCGTTATCGAATCAGCGAAATGCGCGAAATTAGTCGCGTTATCAGCGTCGTGCGCGAACGGGTCGCGTCGGGAGATGAGATCGAGATTATAAGTAAGTCAACTTGTTCTCGGAAACGTGGTACGACTTCGCTCCCCAGTCTCTCATACACGAGGAGAGCTGTGTGAAACCGCGTATACCTCTCCCTTCCTCCTTTCCCCTTCAAAATAGCTCGATCCGTGCGGCCCTGGGACCACGACACCGCCTATCGCGTGAGAGGCACAGTACATACGTCGCCTTTGTGTATATATCGCGCGGTCTCACTCGCACCTGCGCTGCGCCGCTCCCTCCATCTCGCTCGTGCTCCGACACACTCACACATATGCACGCATACTCTCTCTCTCTCACACACACACACACACTCTCTCTCTTTCTCCCCACCAGCCGGCTGCCGTAACGCCGCGAGCCGTTGACTCGGCGTAGTACCATCGGTGTCGCGACGCGGCGCTCTCAGTCGTGTTCCTGCCGTGGCGCCATCACGTCGCTCAGTCGAGTCTGTGTTCCGTGCGGCGCGGATCGGATCTACAGTTCGCTCTTCGCGGCTCATCGCGTCACTTCAAGTAGCTGAACGGCGCCTTTCCGTCTTTTACGTGTATCGTGTGCGGATGTATGTACCAGAGCGGCGTGTTCCTTCCGATCGTGAGATCTGACTCGCGTACTCGCGCGAATCGACTCGCCTCACGCGAGCGTGCCGGACAGCGGAGTGTAGAGAGTAGAAGAGAAACAGTGACGCCCCGCCGAAAGTGCTCCGAAATTTCCTCCGCGAATCTTGATCGTCCCGCGGGTAGACGACGTGGTGTAAATTCGTATATAGTGTATACGGCGCGCGCGGCCAACTCGAAGCGGACGAGCGCGCGACACATGAGGAGGAGGCGAACTCGCGGCGCGAGTTCGGACGAAGAGGAGCAGCAGCCAGCGGCCACCAGTATAAATCTCCTACGGGGAATGCAGCTTCGGGATCGTCGTCTGCGGCCGCGGACGGCCGCTACGCTCCGAGAGACATGACGCGATGATCGTCGAGGCACCTGGTGCATCCGCCCTGATCGCCGCACCACCACGCCGCCGACGCCGCCGTCGCCGCCGTTCGCGTCCTCTCCTCTCTCTCTCTCTTTCTCTCTTTTCTCTCTATCTCTCTCTCTCTTGTTCTCTCGCGGCCCGTGTGTGTATCGTGCACCGCCCGTAGCACCGGCCCCCGCAGAGTGTCACGGATAAGTTTCTCGTCGTGAAAACGCGCCAGCCAAAACGAGAATCATGGGTGATGTGCACGGGCTTCTTCTAGTTAGTGACCTCGGCCAGGAGGATACCGCCTGGGAGGACGTCGGGACATCGGCAGCCGTCGACATTGCCACGCTCCGCGGGGTGAGTCTCTCGTTCTCTTTTTATCGCAACTGTTTTTTTTTAAATAATTAATTACGATAATTCCATCTGGATGGTCTTGTCGACGCGTCGCAATTATGAACGAGCAGATGCGTTTCTGCCCCGCGTGAGGAATTCGAAGGACGCGCCCTTTCGCGCGAACGTTTCTTTTGTTTTTGTTTCATATAGACGTCAGACAGATGGTCTCGCGCGAAATGTTTACGTTGCAATCCGACACTTTTTACGCAGAACTCTCGTTAACACGAGAATTACACGCTCTTTTCCTATTCATTCGAGAGCGAATGTGGATCGTTATTTTATGCGATTACTCTCTTTTCTCTTTCGTAACATTTGATTTTATAGTAAGAAATTTCTGTGGAGATACGCGTATCGTACAGCGCGTGTATCTCTATTTTGAATAAAATCTCTCAAGGAACGTTTCTTTATAACGTTTGGTTTTATATTAGGAAATTTCTTCCAAGAGAAATATATCGTACGTGCGTATGTATCTTTATTTGGAATGAAAGAAATAATATAACAAATTACTTTGTAGGAATAATGTATCAAATTATTACTCGTCAATATGATTTCGAGAGAGGATTCGATGAAAAGAGATGGCAACGATAATATCATTAATGACAATGATATACAGTGGATTTATTTATTACTTACGCAGTACTCTATATTAATTCATTTGAGTTTCGAATATTATTGATCGCCTACAACGAATTCAACGTTTTCTGTAAACAATTAAATACGAAAAGCTAATGACAATTATCACGGTGATAACATTAGTAAATTGAATGTTTTCCATTTCTTCCTTGCGCAATGTTTTTATTCCAATTGGATGTATAACAACAACATTATTTAATTATTTTACCTGATTAACCTAATATAGAAGTCGTTTGTGAACGTAATATATATAATGTTAGCTGTTTAAGAAAAGGTAGATATATTTAGTTTGGTGATTCTATTTATACTTGTGTTTCTTGATGATTAGAGATTCTCTCTCCAAGATGTTCAAAATAACAAAAAAAATTCCATTTTGCGTTCCTTCTGCGCACAATGGAAGAAATTCCTGTTTTCTTTTGGCCTAAGACGCTGCGCACTATGGAAATTTCCTATTAGGAATAGGAATAAATATTAAATGTTAGAGGAATTAAAATGTTAGAAACAGAGATTGAATATACATACACTGAGAAAAAAATGTAAATTTTAATAAACTTTTACTCAAAATGATAGTTGAATGACATTAATGGTTCTTACACTAAATAATATATGTTAACATTTTGTTATATATATATATGTACACATTTATTAATAATATATGTGTTTATAAATATATGTTTACATTTAATAAATATTCAGCTAGTACTATTGAAATAATTTATTGTATTTTCTCTCAGTATATTATATTGTATATTATATCTCTCTAGATACATTAAGTGTCTGTGTATTATATTTAATCTCTACACACAAAAAATATCATTCTGTTGATAAAAAAAATTCTCAGTTTCTTTTCTTCAAGTAATCTTTAACAGTTATCTTTAACAAAGAGAATGTCTTTTGACAAATATAATATTAAATTATATTTATAATATATAATATTAAAATATAATAAAAATAAAAATAAATTATTATATACAAAATGAGAATTAATTTTCTTTGGAAAATATTAAAAAATTGATCGAAGAAACGATTCTATATATCATAAAGCAATCGAATTTAAGGATTTAGAATATATTTCGAATAAAGGTAACAATATTCAAATTTCTGAGATGACAAATTAAAAAAATATAAACAAATGACAAATGAGCACTTAGAAATTGGCACGGTGAATGGTACGTAATTAGCTTCAAAAAAATTTTATCTTACATAATAAAATTAAATAAATTAAATTATACATATTTCGACTAGTATTCTAGCCTTCTTCGGCAGATAGAGACACTAACAACAATCTATATAGTTGTAGTTGAACATCTGTTAAAGCTTTTTTAAAGCTAATTACCGTTCACTGTGCCAATTCTCGTTTGTTATTTGTTCACATTTTTTGAAATTTGAATATTGTTTGAAATTTAATACTTGTGACGAACTTATGATAGAATAGATTAGTAGATACATGAACTTTTGAAATATTTGAAACACGTATCATTATCTACTTTACGTATAGTATGTATTTTTCTGTGTGTATTAGTATTTTTTTATTTCTGTAATGTTTATACGTATATTTATTCTCTAATATTATATGTATATTTAATATTTATACCTGTTTTTAATGTTTTTTCCGTTGTGTGTGGGTTCTTATTATGATGAGAGAAAAGTTTTGTTTGTTTGATTAACTGGAGAATTAACGCTTAAACTTGCAAATCAATGTCCTTGTCGTACTGAAGCACTTTGCGAATAACGCAAGAAATCTGATGATGACAATTACAATTATATTTCGAAGTAACGTTTTTTTCTTTAATGAATACGAGACTGCAAGTTTTTTGTATCGAGATGACTGCATCGGCACTTGACTTAAGAATCTTTGTTATCTATAGTAAATGCAATCGATGAAGTGCCTGCATGAATGAATAAAGCGATAAAGAGTTGCAATAAGTAAAAGTAATTATTATTGTTATTATCAGACCACTTAATATTTCAAAATTTAATATTTATGTTGTATTACATTTTCTTGTTATTGCAATCGTAATTGATTTCGATAGTCGCGCAAATACTGTTAAAAATAAAATGTTAATTTTAACAAACAAAAATAATTAAATTAATTAAAAGACTTTCAATCTTAAAAACGCAATAAACGTAGCATTGGAAGCAAGCTAATGAGAATCAGCCCAGATATGCGAGTGCAAAATTTTTCTATCGAAAATAATTACTCAAACGATTTGTATGATGCCTCCTTTTTATTATATTTGAACGTTTCGACTTGGAGTCCTCCTCAGCGATATTAAAAAAAAGGAAGCCACCCATCCATTGGGAGCAAGTCATTCACAGATTGACAAAACTGATGTTAATTTTAACATTTTTACATGTCTCGGAAAGTCCACCATACTTCTTGATGTTAAAATTGACATTTTATTTGGAACACAGTGTGTAGAAAATTAATTATTTGATAGTTACGTGTGTGTCGAAACTATTTTAATTACATTCAACAAATCGGACCTCATCCTACATGAATCCAGACGTTCTAGATGAAACAGATTAGGAGTACGTGCGCGCTAATCTTAACACGGATATGTGTTGCTCCATGCCATTAGTATTCTCGTGTTTAATTTCTATTTAAAGTTTCATGCTCAAAGTTTCGAGATTGTAGCAACTACGTCATGTAGTAATAATGCATACTGACGCAGAAGCATACGCACACAACCCCGCCGACATTCGCATCGCGCGCCCGTTAATGCGAATACGAAAGTCCCGAAGTTCCGTTCTCGAGGAGTTTAAAACTATGCGTACTTACATTGTTGGACTTTAAAGCGGCTGGGCGTGAAAAAGCCGCGCAAAGATTAGACGATGAATAAACGGCCGGTTAAATGCCCGATATGAAATTCACGAGCGGACGGAGGAGATCGGTACTTGGCTCGTCGCTGCTAATACCGTTTTACGGGATTTAAGCTCGAGGTATCAAGAAGACCGGGGGCCCCGCGTTGGTGACGAAATTAATTGCTAATGCGTTATATAAGGTGTATTAGGTGGGGTGCGCACCTTGAAAGCGCTCCGTGCAACATTACCGATATCGTAAACTAAAATCTTGCGAAGACGCTTCTATCTCCCTGGGAGGTTTTTTTTTTTTTTTTTGCATCACGCCTGCTATCGTATTCCGATGCATAATACATAAACTCCCGTTGACCGTGGAACATACTAATCCTCGTAATCCTCACTCGATGCATGCTTTGCATCCGGACGAGTTTGCGATTTAGTGCGTGTCGCATGATGCGCGCATTGCATTTTTTATGAATGCGCTACACTTGCTTCTCCTTCTCGAAATAGCGATTCTCGGATTAACGCATCGGAAGCACAGTGCATTCCGTTTATTCGATCAATCGCGCAACTGCCTCGTACATACCGTGCACCATAAAATCCTTTCTGCATCCTGCAACCTAATAATAAACGCTGTGTCTCTGTCTCTGTCTCTCTCTCTCTCTCTCTTTCACTTCACTCCGATCGCTGTGTATAACTCGTTGCAAGCTTGGAAATGATATCACGAGCAGAGTCAAAGAAAAAGAACGATGGCAGCGATACGAAGAACGACGGAGAGGAGCTATTGTAGATTGTTGTTCTTTTCCTACCTTTTTCAACTCGATTCTCGTCTCGTTCTCCCTCTCTATCTTGAATTTCCCTCTTTCTTCCTCCTAAACGTTACTTATTATTTAAAATGTTACAATAACTTATTGACTGGCTTCTCTCGTTAATTTCATTTGTTGTTCAATAATGCTTTTCACTAATAATTTCTTTACATTATTGCTTTTAATCGTTAATACATTCATGTATTTGTTACAATTTTTTTAATTATTATCTTATACCGATATCCGTTTTCGATAAGTTCCTTGCATTATTCCACACAATTTTATATTCACCGTTCTGTATCGCATTTTGTCGATTTAGGTCTTTTCACCAGCAATGTAAACGTATTCGCCTTTCTTGTTGAATCAATACTATCACACAAAAGGAAATTCTATATATAGACCCATCCGCCAGTAAGTTATCTGTTGGTGAAACCGGGCATTAGGAGACGCAGAGAGTCCCGAGAGAATGTAATAAACGATTTTCACTCTTCTTTACCCTCTGTCTCTTAGGTATATGGTTTTGGTGACGGAGCAGAATGAATTGATCCGTCCAAGTTTGTACGATTGAAACCTGCGTGTCTCGCACGTTTAGATTATTACACTCGGCGACGAGGCTTCCGCTGTTGAATCACGTACGGGTGAAGGATTAAAACGGCTTAAGCGCACACACCGTGCTCGTCGCCGTGGTGTCAAAGACGTCGACGCTGCGTACGCGAGAGAGTG